ATGCCTCAGTCACAGTGGGAATCAGACTATCTGTTTTGCCAGCTGTGTCTTGCAGTCTTATTTCTTCTCTTTACCCTTGGGATAGCTGAGTGTTTCCTACTTGCAGTGATTGCCTGTGACAGATACATAGCCATATGCTACACCCTCAGGTTACTATTACAAGTAGAAGAACAAGCACTCAGATCATCCTCCTTTGCTGGATTGGAGGCCGTCTGTCACCTTTGATGCCTGCCGCTTTAATGACTGTGGCTTCAGTGTAGTTAACCACTTCTGTGATATTCTACCTCTGCTGCAATTGGCACGTGTTGGTACGTAGGTGCCCATTCTCTGGTGATTTTGGGCATCTTCCTCTCTATTGCTATGTCTTGCATCTATATTGTCATCACTGTCCTGAAGACCCCTTCCACTGAAGCCTTCTCCACTTGTGTTTCCCATCTCATGGTTCTCTCATAGTGTTGTGGGGCAGGGATTTTAGCTTCTGGGCTAAACACTAGCAATTGCTCTATCACCTGAGACACACCTCCCAGCCGAGAAAGGGAAATCGGGGAAAGAAAGGAAACTTGTGGGCTGAAATAGGTTGAAATAGAAACAGATTTAATAAAACAATAAAATTAATATTAATACTAAGGCAAAATAAAGTACACAGAGTTATACTCAGCCCATATAGTGGTCACAAGCTGCACGCTTCCAGCAGCAAATGCTGGTAGGCAGACACTGCGAGCAGCACAGCTCCAGCGCAGGGAGAGCCACCCATGTGACGGCCGTCCAGGGATGTCAGCCATTGAGAGAGAGAGACATGCCCAGCAGACTCCCGAATTTATGTTGAGCATGATGCTTATAGTATGGAATACTTCTGTTGGCCAGCCTGGGTCAGCTGCCTTGGCCTCCATTCCTCCTAGCTTTAGCACCTGGCTGTCTCAAGAATGCTAGAGGCCTTGATCCCTATGGAAACCCACACACCATGGCTGCCCATGAACTAAAACAAAGCATCTTATCAACTTTGTTCTCACAGTAACAGGTGCTACAGTATTCTTAGAAATGCAGCTTCCCTGAATAGAAAACTGATTTTCTGATTCTATCCCAGAAAACCAGGACAACACCAAGCTGAGTGGTGTGGTTGACATGCCTGAGGGATGGGATGCCATCCGGAGGGACCTGGACAAGCTTGAGGAACGGGCCTGTGTGAACCTCATGAGGTTCAACAAGGCCAAGAGCAGGGTTCTGCACCTGGGTCAGGGCAACCCCTGGTATCAGTACAGAATGAAGGGATGGAGAGCAGCCCTGCCAAGAACAACTTGGGGGTACTGGTGGATGAAAAGCTGGACACGAGCCGGCAATGTGCGCTCGCTGCCCAGGAAGCCACCTGTATCCTGGGCTGCCCCCAAAGCCGCGTGGCCAGCAGGGCGAGGGAGGGGGTTCTGCCCCTCTGCC